AGTCTTTAAGAGTTTTTTTATGTACAAAACAGACCGTTTTTGCTGTACCTCTGGCTTTTGAGGATCCTGGGGATGTAAATTGCTGATTATACCATGTTGTAGCTAAGATTGGATCAAATTCCTTTCTAAAATGGGTCTTGTGTACAAAGACAATATCTGGTTTGGATTTTAAGATTTGTGTTGTTATTCGTTTACATTTAATTCTGTTATTCATCCCTCTCACATTCCAAGATAGAGCTTTATACATTGTTACTTTGAGGTTTCACAATTTAAGTCCTTAAAGGTGAATCCTTAGTTTATTTTCACTTAAATAAAAACAAACTTCTTTCTGCTCAAATATTCTCTAACCTTTGTTCCTAAATACTCTGTACCTTTTTCTTATTCTACTCTATAACTTTTCCTGTACTATGTAACCCTATCTATTATATCTAATTCTAATTTTGAACTAGAAAATTTTAATTCTATCTAGTCTCTCCCCCTCTCCTTCTTGGTCAAATTTTCACCTGTCTTTGACCTTCAGACTATGCTATTCTAATCCCTAACTTTTAATCTGTTACTTTTGTGGAGCACTATCTGTACTCAATCCCCTTTCCCTTCCTCCCCCTTCCCTCGTGCATTAAACAAAATTCAATATTCTTATTAATAGCCAAAGCGTATACACATATTTCTTATACGTAAACACAACCTGACAATGTTCTCTCTTGGTCGAGTCCTTTTATCTTCTCTTTATTTTTCTGCTTTGTTGATAGGAGCTCTAATTGGAACTTTACTAGCTTTAAAAGGTGATAAAGTCATAGAAAGTCTTCTTTAAGTAGTTTTCTTAGATTTTTCCGGCGTTGGCACTAAGTTTAAGTCCTGTAAAAGGCATGTTCTGCTGTCTTCATCTGTGGCATGATACAACTTGCATTTGTGTTTTACTGTAAGCTTTCCCGGGGAGCTCCATCTGTAGTAAATTTTTTCTTCTCTGAGTTTTTGGGTAGACATTTTCAGTTTCTGGTGGATCGGTAGAGCTTCCATTGGTAAATCGGGGAAGACCGTGATCTGTTGTTCATGGTATAATAAATGTCCTTTTTCTTGTGCTATTTTCTGAACTGCTACTTTTACTCTCAAGTCTGCAAAAGTCACTAGTATGTCTCTTGGATATTTTCTGTTTGGATTATTTTAAGCACCTATTCTATGCGTTTTCAGTATGATTGGAGGGTCACCTTCACATTGTAGAATTGTCACCAGCCATGTGCTCATTATGTTCAGCAGCTCTGGAGTTTCATTCTGGTCCTCTTGGAACCCTCTACATTTCAAGTTCTGTCTTCTGGCTATCGCTTTCAAAATTATAATTCTTTCTCTCATATTTTCATTTTCTACTTGTAGTGTCTGTCCCAGCATTAGTGCAGTTTCTGTTTTATTTGTTGTCTCTTCCAGTGCCTTTGCTATGTCATCTATTTGTTCAAATAAAGGTTGCAAGATTTCATTTATTTGTGTATTTATATTTTCTAGTATGTTTTGTTCCGTTTTTTGTAAGGCAGATTTTAAGGCTGCTTGCAGAGTCTTAACAGTAACTGGCCCGTCCGCCATTTTGTTGCTGCGCTTCTGTTCGCCGCTGCCGAGTTGTCTTATTGATTCAGGCAAAGTTAAAGCTTTTATGAAGGTTTTAATAGTACCTTTCATTGCTTTTTTCGTTCGCCCAGCTTTTTGCATAACTTGCAGGCTGTGTGCTGATTAGTTTAGTGCTTTGGCAGAGGGAAGGGGAGAACGGGATCAGAGTGAGTAGATTAGGCGTCCACCTTTCCCCATGCTGACGCCACACCCCCTACTGCCTACAGAGTTCAAGATAGTATATACATTCCTGGGTAACAATATTATCCTATATATTTAATATTATCATTCATGATACACTATTAAATCCATCAATAGCATCCAACATCTCAGCAGACTCTTAAACTCAACTGGACACTTTTGAAACTGAATGGGAAAACAAAAACAAAATTACTTTCCTATTGTGACTTAAAACAAAACAGAAACTCTAGACGGATAGGATTTCCCAATATAAGTGATTAGAGAGTTCTTTTCCTGTTTTCCCGGTTGCCCTCGCGGTTATATTAGAAAGATTCAGAAACATGAATGCTGAACTGAAATCGTTTTTGAGATGACCTTATTTCTATTTATTCCTTACTAAGAGAATGTAACCTTCAGATTCTTTAGCATCATTTACATTTTTACATATCACAAGAATAGCTGTAGAAAGAACACACTTGCTTATAGTATTAGGTTCAGCTTTTGATCTGTTTGATCATACTGATTATTGTCTTCTTGATCCACAGCAGTCATGTTTCACAACACAAAGAATCAGAATTAACAGCATGATTTTAGAAACTAAGACCAAGTTCATACATTCTGAAATGACTTTATGTAGACCCCTACAGCCAAGCCCTACGGCCAAGCCACATTGAGGAAGCATGCTGATGCCTCCACAGAGGTGCTGCAAATGACTGCTAGGATTTCCATGAGGGCAGTGGCACTTTAGAATATGCTGGTGCATACGAACAGTCCATCAACACTTATGTGCCACATGTGGATCTGAGAGTAATCCCATGAATTCCCAATCCATTTACATAAGACTCATTATGATACATGAATATTCATCAACACTTTAAAGTCAGTCCATGTGGCACCTCCAGCATGTTCTTTGTAATCTTCTCCACGCAATTACAAATAACAAAAATATATCTGCCATAGGTCCCGTTCACATGCGGCGATTTGGTCCGGGAGCGGGACAGTTCGGGGCCGGATCAAACCAGCGCGATCACACCACAACATCTGGGAAGCGTCTTGCTTCCGTGGCCGAACTGTCCCATTCCCAGGAAACGGCGCCGCAAACTGAACCACCTACCTAGGTGGTTTAAAGGGAAGCGGCGCGGCAACCGGGGCGTTTGATCGCCGGCGCTTCCTTGCGCCGTCTCACCCCTGGCCCGGATCCGAACTGCGCATGCCCGGACATGCGCAGTTCGGCCGGCTCCCGTTTGGGCCGTGTTTTCTCCCCGGCGTTTGATCGCGCCGGGGAGAAAAGGCGCCGCGGCCAGGGGATCCGTGGGATCCCGCCGCAGCGCCTCAACGTTGGTGCGGCTTTTAAAAGCCGTGCCTTAAGAGGCTTTTCCCCTGCCGTGTGGCAGGGGCCATAGAATGGAAGAAGTGTAGTAAAGTAGCCATACAGTTAATTATTGCACACAAACAGAACCCCACCAATGACACAAGGAATTTCAACTGTTTTTCACATGGCAAACATTTCATTCACTTGTAATTCCACTGGTCAATGGCACTCTGCCTGCATAAATCCAAACTCAGCCCAAATTACAGACCCACAAACATCAAATTCACTAGGGTTGTGATATGAGCTCTGGCTTCCACTGAAGGTACAACTCCTGAACAGTATACCACAGTTTATTTGAGTTGACAGAAGGTGTATTTACAACTATTTCCAGCTGACAAATGTACCCTGTTTAATAAAACTATTATTTAATATATTCACGCCACATACTTACAAAGTGGAGGTCTGTACCCAAACAAGCTCCTGAGCTCTCTAACCAAACATGTTGAATAATGTCCCTTACTACATGAGGAACAGAAGACTTCAAAAGGCTCCTTTTGTATACAAAATAGCATATTATACAAAACTGGCATATAGCACCAATACTATTAATCCCCCCCCCCCAAAAAAAACCCCTTAAGTCACACATAGCTTGGTGGGGAAAAATTGAATAAAATATTGTGCTTTGAACCAGTAGCATACCTAGAAGTGCAATCAAGTCAAAACATTCCCTCCAAACCTTTTCCGTATCTGGTTTATCTTTATATCTGCTCAAGTTACCAATGAGCAGCCTAAACCTGGCACAAGGCCAGAAACATCAAGTATCTGCTGACTCGAACACACAAAGGTTATATTTCTCAACATAACTTTGTTCAAGAGATATGTTCAGTAGTCATCCTTTTACTTCCTATAGAAAAGGGTATTTTTGAGAAGGGGATGCTGAAAAATCCATTCATTATCCTGTTTCTCTCACTCCAGAAAACTGCACATTAACAGTGCATCACACCAGTCCACATCTACCAGACTTGCTGCCAATTCAAAAGTCCACAGAGACTGGTTCTGTGTCATTGGCAAAGAACTGACTTAATGTATCATATAGCTAACACTCAATCTTCTCCCAGGGTGTGGGTCAAAAATCTGCACAATGGGGCTCCATATTTGCAAAGAAAAAAAAAAATAAAAACTGGTAAAAAGGGGAAGAGTTAAAAAAGAGTGGCCTGTGCACGGACACTGAAAGGAACCCACAATGCTACATCAGCCCCAAAATGGCATCCAACACTGCTTCACCCTTCCAGGAGATAAAGGGAACAGGAGAAGAGCAGGAAGGGGATGTGTGGGGAAGGGAGGAAAGAGAAGACATGAGAAGGGGGAAATGAGCAAGTGGAAGGAAAACAGCAGCTGAGGTGGGAAACTGAAGAGGGTAGGTGGGAATGAAGAAGGTAAAAGGAAAGAAGCGGGAGGGAAGCAGGTACAGAATGGAACACAGAGACAATAAAAGAAGGGAAGCAGCAGGCTGGGGGAATGAGATTCTCCTGCCCCCTCCCCAACTATACTCCTGGGTTTCCTGCTTCTAGAGGCCTAATGCTTTTTGAGGTGATAAACCTGTGACTGAGATACTCCAGATTACACTGTAGACAGGAGAGGGGCTTAAATGACTGAATGCTCCTCCATATAATGAGATTCCCTGCAGGCTGAAAACTGTCATGGCAGAGAAAAGGACAGCCTAGAACGTTTCACACTCAATACTATTTTTCTATATGAAGGAGCCTCTATCTGAAGTTATGATCTTTCTGCAACATAAGCATTTTCTTCCTCAGAACACTAAGAAGCAGATGCATTAATTTGAAGTCATCTAATGAATCTTCTAGAACCATAAATGGGGGAAAGTTCTGCTGCATGTCTAAAACAGAAAGCTCACCTTATTATGTTCATACATGTATGGAATTCTGAGTGTATCCATAGCTCTGATCATAGATTGCATTGCTGTGAATATATTCTGATACACCAGCTTTGTGAACCCTCTTTTGTCTTCCTCAGAATATCCTGATCCATGGATGATTCTCATCTGTTTAATAAATGTGCTTTTACCACTTTCTCCCGTACCTGCAAAACATTAAAAGATGGATTTATTTATTTATCAAATTTATATACTGCTCCCTCTCCCCCAAACAGGACTTGGGGCAGCTAACATCATATAAAATACACAAATAAAATAATACAAAGATACAATAAATAACCTTTAAAATATTAAACAGTTAAAAATCTATCCACATTAAAATCTATCCACTATCAAGCAGGGTAGGATGTGTGGATGGTGAAGACTAGTTGAAGTATACCAGCTGCCTGGTGGATCACAATCGCCCAAAGGCTGCCTGAAAAAGAGCAGCCTTTCATGCCTTGGGAGGTCCCGCAAGGCACACAAGTCTTCAGGCAGCTGGTTCCACAGGACAGTGGCCACTACTGAGAAGGCCCTCGCCCTTGTTGACCCAAGGCAGCCAGTTTGTGGACCAGGGACCTTCAATAAATTCTGAGATGAAGATTGGAGAAGATGGAGAGGATCATTCCAGAAGAGGCAATCCCAAAGGAATGAGGGTCCCAGGACGTTTAGGGCTTTAAAGGTAAGTACCAACACTTTAAGGAGCTGCGGTGGCTCAAGTGGTTAAGACGCTGAACTGCAGGCTGGGGAAGGTCAGTAGTTCAGCAGCTCGAGACCCGGGTGCCGCAAGACGGAGTGAGCTCCCGTCTCTAGTTCAAGCTCCTGCCAACCTAGCAGTTCGAAAGCAAGAAATTGCAAGTAGATAAACAGGTACCACTTCGGTGGGAAGGTAACAGCGTTCCGTGCGCCTTGGTGTTTAGTCATGCCAGCCACATGATCACGGAAACATCTTCGGACAGCGCTGGCTCTTCGGCTTTGAAACGGAGATGAGCACCGCAACCCTAGAGTCGGATTCGACTGGTTTTCGAGCAAGTGAACCTTTACCTTTACCAACACTTTAAACTGGCATCAGAAACTAACTGGGAACCAGTGCAGCTGCCGTAGGATAGGTGTTATATGCACTGACCAGGATATTCCTGTCAGCAATTTGGCAGCTGCATTCTGGACCACTTGCAGCTTCCGAAGCATCTTCAAAGGAAGCCCTGCATAGAGCATGTTACAGTAGTCCAGTCTGAAGGTGACTGTTGTGTGAATTACCATGGCAAGGTCCCCCCAAGATGTGTGAATTACCATGGCAAGGTCCCCCCAAGACAGACAGGGAGCCAGTTGGCGGGCCCACTGTAGATGGTAAACCACAGTCTTTGTCAGTAAGGACACATGTTTGTCTATGGAGAGCAAAGAATCAAGCCATACTCCCAAATTCCTGACCAAGGACTGTAGAAAGACACACCACATCAAGGGACAAAAGAAATTGCCACCTAGTGGTCCAGGCTTCCCCAGCCACATAATCTCTGTTTTAAATGAATTTGGCTTCAACCAACTCTCATTAGACAGTATTCAAAGAAAATGTAGCTGTTGCACAGGTTCATTTAAACCTTTTGCTTTTATATTCACAGTGGATTTAAGTAGTAATTCATATCTAACAACTATTCTATATTGTGCTCCAACCCCTACCTTTATATGGGTGAGATCTCAAGTGAACCAAGAGAACCAGAGAGCACAATACCAGTTGCTAAGGAGAGAGCTCACAATGAACGCCCTGCTGCTGCATTCTAGTTAAGTTAACATGCAATATCTACAAACTGCCTTTGAACTTCAGAACTTTTCATATAAAACATAAAACATTTAAAACATACATGATAAAATTACACTTTAAAATCATTAAAATCACCTCCACCCCAAAAAACATATATAATTAAAACAAGTAAAAAACAGAGTTAAAATACATACAAAACATAAGAACATTAGTTAGGAAGGAACAATAATTGAGGGAATGCCAAATGAAACAAAAAAGTCTTCACCCACTGGCAGAAGATGGTAACAGAAGGGGACACAAAAATTAGGGTTGCCTCAAACAAGGAGAATTCTTTGAAACCACTACATTAATGATATATTACTCTGGTATGTCTTGCAAGAATAATACGAACAACACAAAATGTTGGAGAAATTGCAACCAGCAAGGTGATTACATCCACATGTTGTGGTCATGCCCTGTAGTGTCACGGTTTTGGAAAAAAATATTCACAAAAATGGGAAATATTATGCATTACATCATTTATGCCACACCAGCACTGGCTTTGTTAACAATTGGGGAGGGGGCAGAGCTTCCGGCTGGCCGCATCCTGCCTTCCCTCCCCTTACTCCCTCTTGATAAACAAGAATTGCTCTGGAAATATTGCACAGACATATGCATGGTACAAGGTCAATGATGGGAAGAGTCAGGGAGAAGAAGGGCAGCAAAAAAAAACCCCATATAGACCACCACAGAGACCAGAATCCAAATCAGACGAAGAGCTGGAGCCCTCACTGCTTTTGTTAGAGGGAATGGCGATGGTGGAGCTGAAGCTGATCTCAGCTTCCAAACAACGATTATGCATGTCCTCACAGAAATGAAAAATGAGTTCAGCAAAGGAATTGACTGAATAAAAGGTGAGATTGGACAACTTAAAACAACAGTAGAACCAATGAATAAGAAAATAGAAGAATTAATGGGGAATTTCAGACAGGCGCTATGTCCCGGTAGGGAACTGATTCTCAACCGGGTTCTGGTCTGTCATTTCAGACAGAACCCGGTTAGGAATCGGTTCCCTACCGGGATCGCAGGTTGAGACCGCAAGAGGGATGGTGGTGTCTTCTTCGCCGAGGAGCCCTGCGCCGCGGCCGAGGAGCTAGGCAGGCGGGCAGACGACGACGAGAGCGCCGCCGCGGACGAACCGCGCTCCTGCTCCCCCGCGGCTCCCGAGGACTGCCGGCCGTGCGCTGTCACCGCTTCACCTCGGTTCTCTTCAAACACCCCCCCCCAAAGCCCTGGGCCAGCTTCTTCCAACGGGCCGGATGCTCCCGCGGGAAAGACGGCTGGCGCCAAATCCACTTGGCACCTCGATCGGCCCGGCGAGTTTCCATGTGGAAGTGCCCCGATGGACGTGCCCGTGTGTTACTACAAAGCGGTGCGTGTGTGAAACGCCAAACCGCTTCTTATCCGGTTCCTTTCCGGTAGGGGCAAGCCGTGTGTGAAACGGCAGCCCTGTACCGGTTCAACTCATAACGGAAGACTCCCGGCTTGAAACCGGGAGAAACTAGGTAATGTGAAATTCCCCAATGTCTGCTATCAAAGAATCAGAGAGAAAAGCGGAAAAGGCTCTACAAACAACATCAAAATTTGCAAGTGAGCTGAAAGCAGCCAAGGACTTTGAGATGTGGGCAAAGAATAAAATTATATTGCAGGACATTAAATCAAGAGACAGAAAAGCTAAAATCAGAGGTGTTTCTACAAACTATGCACCAAATGAAGACTTGTGTTCCTCTTTAAATCTTTGGTTTCTATCTTTGCTGGGAATAGCAGAACCAACTCAGAACATGATCACAGCTGCTTATCGTCTCCCAGTGCTGAAAGCCACCCCATCATAAATGTTATACTACATGTTTGGGATCAAGTTAAAAATAAATTGTCATCAAGACTCTCTCCTTTGGCCTCCGCTATTAGGGATAAGATCAATGAGTTAGATTCTGAATTTCTCCCATTTAAGAAGATGGGAATTTTCAGGATACAGTATAGAAATCTGATAATTGATAACCAAATAATCCCATATAGTAATATAAAAGTTATGAAGGTGCCCAATATTTCAGTATTTGAATATCTCCAAGTCAGAGGTTACCTTTGCAAATTAATACCAAAAAAATGCTAACTTGAAGCCTACAGCAGAGTTTGAAGAATTACGTTTAGCTGATGGTAAAAGATTTACTTCAAGGATTTATTCCTCTTTATTGAAAAATTTACTCAAACCTGATCAAGATTTTTGCTGTAGGTGGCAAAAAAGTGTGGGTAATATTCTTCATGATTCAGCACAGGAATTTATTTTTACTTGTTTGCCTCCCTTTTAGAGAAAATTTTACAGTTTGCCTCCCTTTTAGAGAAAACTTGTTGAAAATGATTCATAGATGGCATTTATCCCCAATAAGGCTGGCAAAGATTTATAAATCTGATTCCAGCAGATATTGATTCTGTAAATAAGACAAAGAAGATTTCTTTCACATGTGGTGGTCTTGTATTCATGCCTCCAATAAGTGGCGAACTTACTATCAATAGGGTTGGATATACAAATCCCTTATAAACCAGATATTTTTGCTGAATTATCTTCCCAATGTTCCCAGAGATCAGAAAACAGCCGCTTTGCATATGATTACTACTGCTAGATTGGTCTTTGCCAGGTATGGGAAACAAGACAATACCCCTAATCTACAAGAATGGTTACTGAAAGTGAAGGAAATTTATACTTTGGTGAAATACTCTGCTTACCAGAGTAATAGAGATGTATATAGATTAGATAATTTATGGGCAAGAGCAATACAAAAAACAGAGCTGTTAATTGTATAATTATATTTAACAGAAATATTGACAACTGCTGGAATGGGATTCTCTATACTCATGAGACAGGGAGGCAATGTTCCCTCTAAGCTGTAAAGTCTTGTGAGCAAAAATTCTACTTTGTGAGCTCCTGGCATTAAAGTTGTGAACGAGCGATTTGGCTACTGCATAAATTAGTTTGCTCTGGAGCCCTCCTTTCCTGAGCTAAGGCAAAAATGCGTGAGCTGGAGGCTAGCTCACACTAACTCAGCTTAGAGGGAACACTGCAGGGAGGATCACAATTTTGTATGGCAACATATTTTATGCATATTCTGTATCTCTTTTTTGTATTTTTTATAATTGTAGTATTTTTAAAGGAAATCTGCAGAATTTTTACCACAACATTAGTGGTATTCCAAACTATGGCAAATAGCTACGGCAGAAAAATTGACATATCAACTTAGAGTAGTCAAAGATAAAGCTAAAATGTCAGATTTTTAAGAAATGTGGCATGATTTTATTTTATATACACATCAGAAAGGTATTCAACATCTATCCAAGCTGTTCCTCAAATTATGGAAAAGGAATTAAATATAAAATATA